GGGAGGTGACAGAATCTTAGGAGGTGGTGCCTAGAGGGAGGTCTTCCGATCATATGGGGATGTGTCCTTGAGGGGGACAGTGGACCCTGGCCTTTTTTTTTTTCTTTCTTCCTGGCCATCACGAGGTAAGTAAGCAATTTCCTCTGCCATGATGTCCCCACTGCCTTGCCACAGGCCCCAAACCAACTAACTCATCATGGCTTGAAGCCTCCCAAACTGAGCCAAGCCAGAGCTTTCCTCTTCCTTGGCTGCTCCACCTCAGGTAAGCTGCTCCCCACAAGCTGCATGCAGGGGGCCAAGAGTGGGGGGGTGACCCCGACCCGCTCTCGTGAGAACTCACTCCTCCTAGAAGCCAGCATGAGTCCTTCCATGTGCAGCCTCCCAGGACCTAATCACCTTGCCCGAGGCCCCACCACTTTTTTTGCACCAGGGATTGAACCTAGGGGTGCTTGACCACTGAGCCACATCCCCAGCCCTATTATTTATTTATTTATTTTTTGGAGACAGGGTCTTGCTAAGTTGCTAGGGCCTTGCTAAATCGCTAAAGCTGGCTTTGAACTTATGAGCCTCCTGCCTCAGCCTCCTGAGCCACCGCATGCACCACTGTGCCCGGCCAGGCTCTGCCTCTTAAGGGTTCTACCACCTCCACACTGCCGCACTGGAGACCCCGCCTCCAGCACAGGGACCTCTGGAGGGCACAGCAAAACACAGCGAGCGTCTCTGCAGATACGACTGGTTAGGGCAAGGTGATGCTGGGGTAAGATGGGTCCTAAGCCCAAAGAGTGGCATCCTGGCTACAGGACAGGTGGAGACACACTGACACCGGTGAGGGCTGGAGCCTCGCAGCCACAAGCCAAGGAGCCCTGGAGCCCACAGAGCTAGAGAGGGGTGGGGGGGGATGCTACCTACGTGCCTTAGAGGGAGCGAGGCCCTGCAGACACCTGGATTTTGGACCCATGGCCTCCAGAACTGGAGAGTGCCCTACTCTGAGGTGCTGTTAGGGTGGCCACAGGAAACTCGACCATGTCCTGCATGGTCCTCGGAAGAGAGGAAAGCTGCTCTGGAGGCGGCCGGGCGCTGGGGAGAACGTGGCCCCTGGACTCCGACCTAAGCATCAACTCTGCCCTGTCTACACCCTGCCGAGACCTCAGGGGCCGGCAGGCTGCCTTGGCTGAAGCCAGGGTCCCAGCGCAGGGCTCAGGTGGGGCTTCTGGGAAGCGATCAGCTCACGAGGCCCCGCTGCACCAGGGGATCAATGCATCCAGGGGTTCTGAGCTCAGGGAACTACAGGAAGCGGCCCTAGAGAGCCCTGAGGCAAGCGGTGTGGCCACTGCGGTGCCCACCCACCCCAGGCCCAGAGCAGGGAACCGGTGCCAGACTCTCTGAGCCACAACACAGCTTTCCCCCGGTTTTCCTCAGTATCTTGTCAATGACCAGAAGCCAAAACAGCGGGGCTCTGGTGTTCCCGCCTGTGGGTTCCACGACAGCAGATGCCCCACGTGACAAGACCCCCGTGGGTCACCTGAGTCTGCCCCTCATGCACACGCTGGCTTCGACTGTCCTGGCCCACCCTCGAGCCCGCTGCCTGCCTGTGGGAAGGACGGTGGGGCCACCGAGGCCTCCCCCAAGGAGTTCCAGAACTGGGATGAAGCCAGGGTCTCAGGGCTCAGGGCAGGCTGTGTGCCATCAGCGTCCTTCCTGTGGCTCCCGAGGCCCTGCCTGGCCTATCACCTGCCCGTCCCCGGCCCCGGCTCTGCCTCTGGCTCACCCTGTCCCAGCGTGTCCTCCTGATGCCCACGCAGCCTCCTGACCTCTGCACTGGCTGTGCCTCCTGCCGGCTGGCCACCTGGCTCACCCGGACTCCCTCCACGCCCAGCTCAGGTGTCGCCCCTGGACCTCAGGACCCTGTACTCCTGGGCCTGTCTGCTGCTCTCCATGGCGGCCTGCCTGTCATGAGGCTCTGTTTGTTACTTCTGCCTGCACGTCAGGAGACGGCTCCCAGAGGGAAGACCTCGGGAACTGTCTCGGCCACCAGGAGGCCCAGAGCCTGGGCTGGAGCCTTGCGCTGGCCCGACACCCTGGGCTTTCGTCCCCATGCGTGCGTATGGACAGGGGCCATCACTGTGGTTAGGGCTGGTTCACGAGGGAGGGCACAGTCAGAAGTTAACAATGAACCAGAGCAACCGCAACGCACATCACACCACGCGAACGTGTGTCCCCCTCCGGACACCTCCCGGCACGTTCACAGCCTTGCTGAAGCGAGCACCTCCCGGCTCCCTGGAGGCCTGAGCGCTGGCAGGCTGCGCGGGGCTTTGGAGTCCTCATTAAATCAAACGAGGGCCACGGGAACACAGCACTGCAACATGGCAGCCGTCTCACGACCAAGACGCCTACTAGGAGGCCAACCTGGAGCACACAGTGGACACGCCGGACAGGAGCCTCGTGTGCAGGGAGGGGCCGTCTGAGACACTGTGTCACGCCACGCAGAAGACAGTGCAATTCAAAACATGCCAGATGTTTACTTCTGCCTTTCTCCATTTAAGATCTCCAGGTTACAGCTGATTGCTGGTAACTTGGACGTCCCAGTGAAACCTAGAGCAGGGCCACAGAACCTGCGGAGGGAGTGGAGGGCCCGGAGGGGCAGACGACCCGGTCAGGGCCGACTGCCATCAACAAGGAAACGGCACACGGTGCTGGCAATGAGCTCAGTAGCTTTTAAGAAGTTCACGCAGAACATGACCCGAGTCCTCAGGTTACTCGCAGGGGAAACAGAAACAGGCTGCAGGTCTCGGCAGGAAGCTTGTCGTATGACCCTATTAATTCTATGCGACGTTTCAGTGAGGAAGAGGAACTGAGACGTCTTCTTGCCAGCGCAGGCTACATATGGCTTGGGGGATGGGAAAGAGGCCAGAGGTCAGTGCTCCGGGGAAGGCAGGACTGCCCCTGACCCTCTGCGGAGAAAGAGGTTTCAAGATCCTATGGATGAAAAAACGACGACACATCCGTGTGCAGTTGTCCTGGGACTAGCCCAGGACTCTCCCAAGGACACCAAAGCCACAGGTGCTCGAGTCCCTTCTATAAAATGACATCCTATTTGCACAGAACTGATAACATCGTCCTGCAGACCTTAAATCCTCTCTAGATGACTTAGGACACTAAACAGTATGTGCACAGCATGCTGTATCGTTCAGGGAATCACAATAAGAAAACAGTCAGTCTGTGCTCAGTACAGATCGATTCTTTCCCCAAAACAGTTCTGATTCATAGTTGGTTGAATGCATAGATGTGGAAACTGCAGATACTATAATGAAGTATTATTCAGCAATAAAAAGTAAGTCCTCACTGGGTGCAGCGGGCCTGCCTGTGATCCCAGCAACTCAGGAGACTGAGGCAAGAGGATCACATGTTGGAGACCGGCTTCAGCAACTTAGTGAAGGCCTAAGAAACTTAGTGATACCCTGTCTCAAAAAAACAAAAAACAAAAAACAAAGGATTGGGTGGGTGCTGGGATGTAGCTCAGTGGTAGAGCACCCCTGGGTTAATTCCTCAGTACCAGGAAGAAAGAAAGGAAAAGAAAAAAAAAATTCTCAAGCCACAAATACATATTACTAAGTGGGAAAAGCCGGTCTGAAAGGCCACACCCCTGTGACTCCAACTCTATGACATTCTGGAAAAGGCAACTCTATGGGGACAGCGATCAGTGGGTACCGAGAAGGGACAAGGACAGAGCACAGAGCAGTGGAAATCCTCTTCATGGCGCTCTGCACACCGTATTCCACCCTGTCTAGTGTGTCACACAGAACGGTGCCATGTGGCCTTCTGCGGGGATCCAAACACACAGAAACAACACCAAGAGTGGACCCTGAGGTGAACCTGGGACTTCGGTTATGCCCAACATATCAACAAGGGCTTGGACCAAGTGCACAGATGGCCACTCTCAGACGCCCTAACAAGGGAGCCGGGAGGGCCGTGGGGACTCTGTGTCATCTGCTCTGAGTTTCTGTCATCTAAAGTGATCTAAAAAATAACATTAAACAAGAAAAAGTAGAATGCTGGACCCCAAATTCAGGGCTGCAGACCCCCTGAGCCCACACCCCACCCTAACCAGGTGATAATGGCTGCATCGTCTGGAGTCGCGTGGATGCACTGAGTGGGGCCACTGAGCGGTCACTTCTGTACCCCCTAAATCCATGCTGGTGACCAGAAGGCTCATCCACAGGGACATGTGGATGGTTCCTATGGGGTCTGACCAAAGGACACTGCACAGAGGACAGAGGGTGTGGGGGCTCTGCTGCCCCTATGGACAGTGCTGCCAGGTGACCCCCTCCTGGCCTGCTCTGTGGCAACGCACTCGACCGCCACCTGCTGAGGCTGTGGCGCCTGCTGCTTCTGCCCACCCTGCAGCCCTCCAGAAACGCCGAGTTCAACTGAGCACGCGGCTTTGCTCCCAGGACTGGGGACAGACGGCTGCCCTCCGGATGCTGCAGATGCATCACCCCACACTTCACTCTCTTGATCTGGCCCTCCCGGGCTGGCGTCAGCCGAGGGCTCTGCACACCAACTCCTGTGTGCTACCCATCGTACCTGAGCCCACAAGCGGATCACCTCTATGCCCTGCCCCGATCCCGGGACCACTAGGGGCACCCCTGGGCCAGAGCCCGCCTTCCGTCTGCGTCTCCTGCCTTGCTCGTTCCCCCACAAAAGCCAGGACAAAACCAGCCCGGCCACCTCCTAACTGACCCTGGTGCTTCCCCAGGGTGGCCCTGTGTGATGTGGAGCCCACATGTGGGAACGCCAAGTGCCCAACTGTCTCCTGACTCGGCTGGCCTGTCCCAGCTGAGTGATAAAGAATCTTTTACTTTTTATTTACTTTTTGCAGCGCAGGGATGAACTCAGGGCCTGGGGCACGCTAGGGAAGCGCGCCACCACAGAGCCTAGCCCGTCCCCAAGCCCGCATCTTCAGAGGTGAGGGTCCCTCCTGCCACCCACCCCATGCTCACCTCTAGCACAGGGCCGGCCCCCAGGATGGTCCTCTCCACGCCGCTGGCGTAGCCCTTCTGGCTGAGGGCGGTGAGGCAGTGGATCAGGAAGTTGGTGCTCTGGGTCTTGCCGGAGCCGCTCTCGCCCGAGATCACGATGCACTGGTTGATGCGCTTCCTCAGCATGGCGTAGTAGGCCACGTCGGCCAGCGCGAAGACGTGCGGCTCCAGCTTGCCCAGCTGCTGGTTCTCGTACATCTTCACGTACTTGGGGTTGTAGATGGGGAGGAACTTGAAGGGGTTGATGGCCACGAGGATGCTCCCCGCGTACGTGTAGATCTTCTGCTGCAGGAAGCGGTGCTTGAGGTTCTTCAAGAGGTTGTCCTCGGTCAGCTCGGGGAGGTTGCAGAGGTCATCAAAGTCTGCCTGCTGTCGCGGCAAGAGGCCGCGCTCCACCAGGCGCCGGGCGGCCGTGGCCTGGGCCACCAGCTGCATGTGCACATATTTGATGGTCCCGTCTGCGTTGCGCTCCTGCAGCAGGAAGTAGTAGCCGTCCTCCTGCGGGTGCTCGTCCTGAGCCCGCCGGGGCCACAGCAGCACACGATGCACCGGCGAGTCGTTGGCGTCCAGCACCCACTCCTCCCCGCCCGACTCCTTGACCTCCACCAGCACGTAGCACTTGGTGACATCTAGCCGCAGGCTGGCGATGGCATCCTTGATGACGTCGGACGTGGTGCTGTCCTTGGTGGCGGTCACTCGGCAGGAGGCCTGGCCCTCGGTGGTGGACAGCCGTGGGTAGATGTACAGGTGGTAGGCTGCCTGCTCCCGGCGGCCGGAGCTGCCCGCCTCTTGCACACTCATCCTGCCGGCCTCCCGGCTTCAGCATGCCTCCCGGGCTCGGGCGAGCTTCTCCTGGAGCTGGAAGGGAGGTCAAGGTCAGGCAGCTCTAAGCCCCGGGAAGAGGGATGTGGGACGCCCACCCTGCACAGACAGCACCAGACCCGGGGCCAGAAGACCCTGCCCCCAGCCGGGCCAGGAGCCACCAGCTCTGGCTCCCAGGGTGACAGTGGAAGAGCCTGTCTTTCTTTTCCTTAGTGCTGGAGCTGGGACCCAGGGCCTGTGCGTGTGGTGAAGTGCCCTACCTCCCACCGACCACACCCCCAACGCCTTCCTTCTGCCCTTTAACGGGACATCTGACTCATGTGGCTCTCGAGTGATGTCACCAGACAACTCCAAAACCAAATCCTCTCATTTGCCCCATCCCGGCACCGGTCCCACCCTGCCCCACGTCCAGCCTCGTAATCCCACGTCCAAAGGCCACGACCATCTCAGCTAAGCCTTCGCTGCCCATATCCTTCCTGGCCTCCGCTCCCTGACAAAACCTCCTCAGCAGCTGCCCGAACACATCAAGTTTGGCCCGGGGGCCTGGCTACATCACCACCACACACCCGGCCAGAGCGCTGGGAGAGAGCAGGGCTGGACCTGTTGGAACTGGGGTCCCCGAAACCCAACCAAGGAAGATGAGGTCAGGGCACATGTGCTTCTAGAACACGACTCCAGCCTGTTGGGGAGAGGAGCACCCTCAGGCCCAAGCCACGGGGTGCCCTGCAGGCAACTGGCCAGTCCCCTAAGATGGCCAAGGTCTAGAGCAATGAGAAAAGGTGTGAAGAATCTGAATGCAGTGGGGTGCCTTAGAAGGGATCCCCAACCAGAAAGAAGACGTGACCTGGGGAAGCCGAGTGAGGGTCGGGGAATGCTACAGTCTGGATCCCGCCCGAGTGTGTTCACCAAGGGTTCAGGCGCCAAAAGCTTGGTTCCCGGTATATAAGGTTGAGAGGGGGACCTTTAACAGGTGGGGCCTTGCAGGGGATGATCAGGTCACTGGGAGGGGCTTAATATCACTCCTAGGAGGCCCCGGTTAGTCCCCTGCAGAGTGGGTGGTTACAGAAAGCGCAAGTCTGCTGCTTTCCTGCCACGTGATTCTTGTGGCATGCACCCCCAGATGCCCCCAAGATGCCATTTGCTGCAAGGTTGTCACTCAAGGCCACACAGAAAGTGCTGACTGGATTTCCAGCCTCCGAACTGAGAGGTACACTAGCCTCTTTTTTAAATGAAGGACCTAGCTTCAAGTACTTTGTTATAGCAACAGAACATAAATTAAGACAGATTGTAGATTATAGATTCTACATTATCTTTGCAACTTTTCTGTAAATCCCAAGTTATTCCAATAAAAAAAGCTCTTCCCCTCCCCTTCTGTGGTGCTGGGGATGGAACTCAGAGCCTCAAACATGCTAAGCAAGTACTCTACCGATGAGCTGCATTCCAGTCCTGAAAAAGCTAATTTTAAAATTACATTTGCTTTTGTAGGCTGCTGGAAAAAAAAAATGCAGCTGATGCTGGTGATAGCCCATTTGGTATCTTGGAGCAGGAGGTATGTATGCAGTGTGGGTCATGTGTGTGCCACTGAGGGACGAGGACAAACCAGACCTTGGCTCAAAGCCTATCAGGAGAGGCTGTATGTCGACAGTGGCGGAACACATGGAGCCCAACAGTGAATGACACAGGTAGGAGCACCTGCCTCAGGGTCCATGGGATGAAACATCTCCAAGGGAACCTGAGGAGGAGGAATGCATTCTGAAGTGGAGGGAGGAGGTGCGGTCGGCCCACGGCTTGACTTTATAAATAAAGTTTTATCTGAAGGCAGCCTGGCCATTCATTTACATGTTGCCTGTGCCTTCAGCCATCCTGATTAGGTGGGACAGGCACAGCAGAGCCTTTAAGGCCCAGAAAGCCTGAGATACTCACTGTGCAGCCAGAGAAGTGCCAGAGAAGATCCTCTAACTTAGCCCCAGCAGAAGCATGAGTCAGCAGCGGGGCCTGTGGGGCAGAAGTGTCAGGAGGGTGGAGGAGGGGAAGGCCAGGGCCACGGATTCTGGCAACTGTTAACACAGGGAGGGGGAGTCGCAGCAGATAAGAGGGAGGGGTATTCAATTTTGAAAACCTGGACTCGTAGGGGCTCTGACTGTTCCTCTACCCCTGGGCACTGTTTCTAGTTACTTCACGGGTTCAAAGATCATCCTTGGAGACGCTTCTTCCTGGCATCTGTGCGCACCCCCTGGGGTCACCCCTCTCATGATGCAGGTAAGCAGGAGTACTGTCATCTCTCGATTCAACTGTCACATTAATGCTCAGAAAGACCTTCATTAAATGAGGCAGCTCATCCGCTTTGGAAACCACTCGGGAGATTTCTTTAAATGTTAAACACACATCTAGCATGTGACCAGCAATTCTGCCCCCAGGAATAACGCCAGCGGAACAGGCAGAGCCAAGGCTCTGGGGCATCACTCCTAGAGCCCCAAACTAGAGCCGAGCGCAACGTCCATCAGCCAGTGGAGGAGCCAACTGGCAGCGCAGGGCGACGTGGTGCCGCGGTGGGAGCAGCCTGTGGTACCTACTGTGGCAGGGAACAAACAGAAGCACTGCCCTATAAACAAGGCCGGACTAACAGACAGCATGCATGTACCCAGCCATTCTGCTCCCAGGTCTCGATCACAAAGAACTGAAAACAGAGACTCAAATCCTTGCGTGTGAATGTCCTGTAGCGCAATTCACAACATCTGAAAGATGGAAATGACCCGAGGGTTCATGACTGGATGAATAGATGAGCAAGATAGGGTCTGTCCATACATGGGAATATTATTCAGTCAGGAAGAGGGATGAGGCACTGGCACATGCTACAGACAACGTGGACAATCTCTGAAAACACGATGCTGAGAGAAGCCAGACAGGAAAGACCACAGTGTGTGATCCCATGGACTCAGAAGTACTCAGAACAGGCAAATTCACGGAGACAGGAAGAGACTAGTAGTTGCCAGGAAAAAGTGAAAGGTGATGGGGACAGGGTCTCTTGGGGTGATACAAATGTTCTAGAACCAGAAATGGTGTTTGTGCAATGCTATGAATACACTACATGCTGCTGAACTGTAGAGAGTGGTGAATTTTATGTGATTTTACCTCAAATTTAAGAGTCCAGGCTGTAAAATTCCATGTGTATAAAATTCTACAGGTGACACAGAACGACACTTTGTTCACGTGCATACAGTGCACAGACTAGTGCATGCGCACACTCTTGTACCAATACACCCACAGTTATCAACACACATGGCTGCCCACTTGCAGACACGTGTGCGTGCAAAGTATGATCATAAACACACAGGCCCACGTGCACGTGGGGGCACAAACACACACCTCCGTGCAGACACACCCACACGCACGTCTGTGGGGCCTCCCCCTCACTTCTATCCCAGACTCAGGGCTTCTGCAGCGGCTCCTGGCCCAGGGGTGGACCCCGGTCCTGCCTCCCAGCCACCTGGCCTGCAGCCTGTCCCCCAGCTCCCACCTGGCCCACAGCCCCGTCCCCACAGCGTGGAAACCACGGTCCCTGCAGCCACACCTCCCAGTCCCACCAGAAGACGGCACCAAACTCCTGCTAGTCCTACCTGCTGGCTAGAAGCCTTCCCTGGCCCCTGGGCCCCGTAGTCCTGGGGTGGACAGTGTCACTTATACCTGCCCCTGTGCATGTCTCCTGCCCTGCCCTCAGGCCCTGCCCAGGGCCGTTCCATACCACCACACCTGCTCAGGCACGCTGGTCCCACCTGGAGCCCACTACCACCACTCTCCCTGCCTCCCTGGACATCAGGGGGTTGTCCTTGTCTCCCACTGACCTGGGCCTATGTGCTGTTGCCACACCCCAAACCATCAGGAGGGCCCGGCCTCTATCCTCTGTGCTACTGTGGGGGATTCCCTGGAAGAGCCGATCTCCATGTGGCTGTCCCACAGAAAGCCCCTTGGGGTGCCCATCTCCAACCCCTTCCGTCCAGCCCTCAGTGCCCCTGGCTATGCAGCCTGACGCAGCAGACTCCCTTCAGCTCCACATGTGCTGACGGACACACCCAAGCCCTTCCCGGGGGTCAGGCCCAGGATCACAGGCAGACCCTGGCGGTCTCCTGGATGGCCACCCAGCCCAGTCAGGGAGAAGCTGCCCCAAACGCCCAACACACAGGGCAGTGCACGTCCCCTGGGCCTCAGCGGGCCTTCAACACAGGCCTGGCACTGCTCTCCCTCCCAGATGTCCAGGCCCTGTGCAGCAGCCTGCCACCCGCCACCTCCCCTGAGACCACAGGGCCTGTCCCCACCCTGCTCTCCCCTGGCCACTCTCTGCCCTCCAGTGGGAACACAGCTCGAGGCTCTGGCCGAATCAGGCAGCTCTGCTCCCAACACAGAGCCTCAGGTGGACCATCTCCTCCACAGCAGGGCCAGGCCCACGTGCCCTGCCCACAGGTGACGCCTGCCCACAGGCCTGTGCCCTGGTGGGGATGCAGGGTCGGGAGCTGTGTGGGCCAGGGGAGGATCAATGCCTCCTGAGGGGCGGGCAGCCCCTCGGGGAGACCTTCAGCGCCTTCCTTCCCTTCCGTGGTGTCTGCTGCTCTCCCATTTTCTGCCATGAACTGAAACCACGCAACTCATGGCCCTCACCAGAGCGACCAGAGGTGGCTGCCTGATCTTGGACTTCCCTGCCTCTAGAACAGAGACCCGAATCAACCTCTGTTCTTCAAAAATGACCCAGTCTCAGGTATTTTGTTATAACAAGAGAAAAAGGACCAAAGCAGTGTGTCATTTCACCGATAATGCTGGGCTGATCCCCTCAACCTAGGCCAAAACACACCCTCATGGCCCTGATCCATTCTGAAAAACTGACTTCCAGAAAAGCCCCCCAACTCTCAGGTTCCCCTAGAACAGCACAGGAGAGTTACTATCTCTCAGCATCCTCAACAGCACTGGGTATTAATATTTTTCTCACTCTGCAGCCATCAGTGAGCACAAAAGAACATTTCATCTCTCACATTTCTTTGACTCTC